ATATATATATATATATATATATATATGTATATCATATCTTCAAGGGAAATGCCTTTGTTTAGTGTGTTGAATGCAGTCTAATTGAGACCATATTCCCACTGGACATAAAACCCACACACAGGCACATACTAAGAATGTAAATACAATTCAGCGGAGGTTATATTCCCACCTGACACGCTAAACACACATACAAAGCAGTCCCCGGAGAAAACTTAGAGGATGCATGAATAGCTGTAAGTTCATACAGAGGAAATGTGACTGAAATCATACATTGTGTTTTACACTTACAATACTGCAGGCTGAAACTCAGCACCGCCAGCAGGGCACCCACCACCAGCACCAGCATGAAACGGCTTCGTGCCAGCATTGTCCTGTGATTGGTTCGGACTCCTGTCCATCAGCCATACATGCACAGCCCACTTACGGTCACCTGGGAAATTAAGAGCAACGGAAACTTAATATTGCACACATACGAACAACACAACATGCATGCAATGCTTAACAAATGTTGAGATGTTACAAGGACAGATTGCTCAGCACAAACATTGTAATGAAAACCCCACAGTGCTGGTTTCCCTTTTATAGGCATATTGCAGCAAAAAACATGATACAGGACAGCCAAAGTCTGGTGAAACACAAACTGACAAACCTACACACAGCACCAAGAAGCAACGTGTAATTTATCCCAGAAGCAAAAACTGCTATTAACTCTAAATACAGATAATAGCTGTGCCCTTAAAGGGATAGTTCACCCAAAAATGAAAATGTGATGGTTATCTGCTTACCCCCAGGGCATCCAAGATGTAGGTGACTTTGTTTCTTCAGTAGAACACAAATGATGATTTTTAACTCCAGCCATTGCAGTCTATCAGTCTTATAATGCATGGCAATGGTAACAAAATCTATGAGAGTAAAAAAAACATGCACAGACAAATCCAAATTAAACCCTGCGGCTCGTGACGACACATTGATGTCCTAAGACACGAAACGATCGGTTTGTGCGAGAAACCGAACAGTATTTATATCATATTTTACCTCTAATACACCACTATGTCCAACTGCTTTGAGCGCGCGCACAGCATCCGGTGCGTGAGGTGTGTACGCGCCTACATCTTGGATGCCCTGGGGGTAAGCAGATAAACATCACTTTTTCATTTTTGGGTGAACTATCCCTTTAAATTCCTACGATGAGCGTTTTGACCAAATCTGAAGTGCACATACAAACATGCACGGCTGATGAACTGAGCATATGTTTAAAGGCGCCAGAGAGCATTAAACCACTTCCTGGACTACACCCTCACTCCTCTGCAGCTAAACTCCAAATACTGAGATGAGAACAAATATGCACTGACATTTTAAAAATGTGATATCACACCAATTTTTGCAGCTGCGGTTTGTCACCTTTTTTTGCTGTTGGTATCATTTAATTATAACCCCTGTGGTTCTAATGACAGCAGTCTCTTGCAGTGTGACATGCCTTATTCCATCTAAAACTAGTACTTTTTGTGTAATTATTATTCATGCTGTTTTATGGCCTCATTTTAAAGGAGAGACGACGTGACAGTGATACTGTCAAAATTTGTCACACCGCAGGATTATTGAAATGAACTAGTGAAGGCTAAAACAATTCAAAAATGCAATTTAAACAATTATTTGAATGCACACTCTTTTATAATGAACATGTTTTAGGATTCTGAAATGAAAAGAGACATTTTGTAAGTTTTATAGAAAACTATAAAACACCCTTGAAGACCCTCATTACAGTGTCTCAAGGTCATATATTTAAAAGTTAATTAGTTCATATATTTATCTACTTTATATAAAAAGGCATGTTTTGCTCAAATAAACATTTTTTTTACACCTTGATAATTTACCCCTCTTTGAGATTATACCACTGAAGAATGATCAGACTCAGCCCTGCTGTGAGCCTCTAACAATATAAACTGAGAGAGAGTGTTTGTATATACTGTATATGTATGCATGTATGAAACCAACAATAATGCAAAGATTACATTTCTAATAACTATATATATATTTACTGGATTTTACTGAAATGTGTTTCTATATTTTTACTATTTTCTTTACAGGATTTTATTTCTTTATAGGCCATATGGAGATGTTGCAGATGACAGCTCGCATTTAATAACGCATTTTACACAATAAATGTCACTGTCTAAAAGTGTTGAATCTTAAAACTCCTGTTTTTCTGCATATATAATGTCAATTTGTCGTGTTTTACGAGTGAAGACGATCAGTTTGCGATCTGAATAGCGCAACTTCGGTGTCTTCGGGAAACCGTGCAAAAGGAACATGAGAAGAATTCGTATGGAAAACGGGAACGCTGCATATGTAATTCTGAATGGTTCAGTGAGATCAGCGGATCAGACACACGTACAGACGCGTCACGGCACGAGAAGAGGGAAACCCGCTTTACCTGACCGAACAGAGCCGAGATATTCCGTTCAGAGGAGTCGATCTGAGCCGTGATCCATCTGCCCGTCAAGAATGATCAACCAGCCCTGCTGCGAGCCTCTAACAATATAAATCGAGTGTGTGTGTGTGTGTGTGTGTGTGTGTCAGACATTTTGTTGAGTTCAATGCTCCATCTGCTGGTCATAAATGGTCAAAGACCAAAGTTGTGGTGATACCATGGTATCATATGGTAGGCTACTTGTGTGTATTTGTGTCTGTAGAGCCTTAGCCGTCTATGAAAACAGTACAAGTCTATGAGATGTCCTCCTCACTCAAATAAAGCTCTGTGTGTAGGCCTATGTGTTTGTTGCGCCTTCATGCACTTTGACTTGAAAACTATTAATGATCCACCAGAGGGTTGTGGTTTTGCTTCTGGAAACAGATTTTACATTGGACATCAAGTGCCAGAGTATGGATATTAAATGTCTCTTGAATTTGATCACGTGACTACAGATAGCTTTTATCATTGTTGCAGGCAATCCTATATTTACTTTTTTTGAAGTAGGCTATAGCCTACTAGTAATATGCCGATTTATTTTGCAAGTAGGCCTATGCTCAATTAAATGTTATTTGCATTTAACATTGTTTTTCTTTACTGTCTGCAACCCATTTTATGCCGGTGTGTGTGTGTGTGTGTGTGTGTGTGTACACTCTGTGCTTGTTTGTATGCACTGATTCTACATTATTTGAACTGATTTCCAGTTCAAGTGCCATCGACTGACCCATTACAGTAGGCTACTAGATCGCTCTTTGGCAATGCATTTGTATGTTTTTGGTATTTTGTTGTTCTTGTTGAACTCATTTCAGGGGTTAAGTGGGAGTTATAAAGCAGTTCTGACAAGACAATAGTGCAATTATTTAGTTCAAGTCAGTTCAGCTCAAACTGTAAAATGTCCATCAATTATGAAACAAGTTCAGGTTTGTAGGGAATGGTGGAGCAGAAGGGAATGAGGAACTGTGCAACAGATCGATTGGTTATTTGGATAAACCAGTTTAGAGAACCACACTAATAATTAACCATTCTTCCTCAACAAAAAATAAAATAAATAAAAAATGAGTGGTTTCCACCCTCTCACACTTGCATACACACACATTTTACTGTCTATGACTGGTTTGCAAGTTAATGCATGTTTGACTCATGTGACTTATCTAATTAAAGTTGCACATAAAGCCACAACCTGAATGAACAGAAGATTGAATCACTTTAAATATAGATCTACCTGTTTACATAGAACACACACAGTTCAAAGAGACTCTGTCTTCTAAAACGCCCTATGTGACAGATGTGATAGAGATAAGCTGTCTTCATCTCTCTTGAAAACACAGAAACAGTAACTGCAAATGTCTCTGTTAACTACAGCTGATTATTTTCGTTGAATGTTTGAAGCTTGTTAATCGCATTTTGCAAATCTGATAATTGTTAGATTGTATACTTTTGTAACAATTTGATTAGGAACAGTTTTACAAGTTTTGTCTTTTTGCTCAGGTTGAAGACATGTGCAAAGAGTTTACTGATCATGTTAATAAAATAATGATCTACAACGTCCAGGTAATTCCCAATAGTCCCAAAATAGTCCCAATAATTCTGCTTTATATGCCTTTATACAATTTTTTTATATATATATTTTATATATTTACTATTTTTTTAATTAAAGAAATTCCACAGTCAGACAAAAGAAACTTGTATGTTATGATTTATGGTAAATTTTCAGTAAGCTGCCCAGGTAAAGAGTTTGTTTTGGAAAACATATAGTGTCAATAAAAGAGTGTGTTTTGTGCACAAAGTTTTTGTTTGCTGTCAAAGTACAGCTTAAGGTTTTCCATTTTGAACATCATTTTTTTTCTCCTCCCATTCACAGATGCCAAAAGAAACAAAAAGGTCTAAAAATCACAATGACAAAAAAATTAACTCAAAATAATCCCTGCCAAATAAGCCCTTTATTTAGAAAATAAAAAATCTAAATAATAAAATAAATATCTCTAACTGTATCTATAAAAAGAGACCTGACAAATGCTACATCCTCCAGGAAAAAAAATAAATAAAATCAAAATAATAATTATAAAAAAAAAAAAAATTAAGAAAAAAGAAAAAGAAACACTGTCTGGGACCAAAGAGTGCAGAGGTTAGTTATAAGAAGTTGGGAATAAAAAGATTATTGGAGTAAGTTTTACAAGAAAATGCGATTTCAAATTTTCATGTTTAATTCAATGCGTTTCTTTGTAAACATTTGAGAAATTTATTAGCAATTTCTGAGGGAGAATTATTTCAAAGTACTTTTTCGGTGTACTAGGCACAGAATATATAGTTTAGTTATTTCTGGCAAAGTTTGTCATTTTTTATTTTAGTTTGATCATATATGTAACCCACGACTAATTAGTATGTGAAAGAGCACAGATCACGTGAAAGGCGCTTGATAGAGGCGGGCTCTAGTGACGTCAACTGAAAGTCGACCAATAGACGCTTTTGTTTTGCGCTCTCTGATTGGTCCATCGCCAGAGTGAACCGTGAGCGCGTTTGCGTCGCGGAATGTGAGTGGGAGAGTGAACACGAAGAAGGTGAGCTGCGTGCGGGGCAAGCGTGCTCGTTTTGAACCCCCTGCTCTGACCTGCCAAATGGATTTTGACCCAGATCAGTGATATGCAGTCACATTTTCACCGCAGACTCACTTTCAGACCAACTATTGAAGAAGCGACGCCCGTGGACCGATCAGCGGGGGTTTGTTGGAGGCGAAGCCGCGCAGAAATGCTTTGAGGTTGCCTAAAGTGGCTGGTAGTGACCCGCATGAGCCACACTGACACGGACACTGCTGCCCAGTCCGGTGCATCTCCAGTCCCGGAGAGAATGAGCCGAGATGAGCCAGAGAGACACACTGGTGCATCTGTTTGCTGGAGGGTGAGACAGCTTTACTCTTCAAGATTACATAAACAAACTAACTTACATATCGTTTAATACTTAAAACAGCTAGAGTCTAGAACTACTACTATCAATAATAGTAATAATAGTTCATTTTATTTATTATAAATGATTTTTTACACTGTTTACTTTTTATAAATATATATATATATATATATACACACACACACACACACTGCCGTTCAAAAGCTTTGAGATCAGTAAGATTTTTTTTTAAAGAAGTCTTCTGCTCATCAAGGCTGCATTTATTTGATAAAAAATACAGAAAAAACAGTAATAATCTGAAATATTATTGCAATTTAAAATAATGGTTTTATATTTTAATATACTTAAAAATGTAATTTATTTCTGTGATCAAAGCTGAATTTTCAGCATCATTACTCCAGTCTTCAGTGTCACATGATCCTTCAGAAATCATTCTTAAATGCTGATTTATTAACCATGTTGGAAACAGTTTTGCTGCTTAATATTTTTTTGGAACCTGTGATACTTTTTAAGGATTATTTTATTCAAAATAGAAGTCGTTTAACAATATATACTACCGTTCAAAGTTTGGGGTCAGTAATTTTTTTTTTTTTTTTTTTTTTTAAAGAAATTAGTGCTTTTATTCAGCAAGGATGTGTTAAATTAATAAAAAGTGATGATAAACACTTAAATGGATAGAAAAGATTTCTATTTTGAATAAATGCTGTTCTTTTTTACGTTTATTAAGCAGCACAACTGTTTCCAACATGGTTAATAAATCAGCATATTAGAATGATTTCTAAAGGATCATGTAACACTGAAGACTGGAGTAATGATGCTGAAAATTCAGTTTTAAATTACAGAAATAGCCTTTAAATTAGCTCTTTAACCCTTTAACTGTCACCCGTCCCCTCTGTGGGACGCCTAAGTTTACTTCACTATATTACAATTAAATCCTAATCTAATCATGACAAACTATATATCGTTGGAAAGGTCTAAGACTCCTAAATAATATTTTACAAAAACATTGGTAAAATATCTATGTAGGAAAAGTAATAGATTAATTTATGACAAGAGTGCACCTCAAAAATCTAAATCATAACAGGAGTTCTGACCTTTGTCAAAAAAAGTCTTCTTTGTTGCCTTTTTCTCTATCACACTTTAGAAATCATCAGAAATTATATATCAATTGAAAACTTTAAATCTCAAAATTCATCCTTTGAAACCCATTTTAAAATCAAACATCGCATTACCATGAAAATGGTACATCAGTATCATGTTACAAAATGTTTTCGTTCATGAATTATACAAATTTAAGTTTGGATCGTGCACTTTCACGTCTATGTTCAAAAATGTGAGTGACAGTTAAATGGTTAATTAGCTCTCTAAAACACAATAAAAATCTTACTGATCCCAAACTTTATATATATATATATATATACACACACAGCAACTATTATTTTTAGCTTTTAGATTATACATTTTTCATATTAAATATATAAAATAATTTTGTTGTGTGTGTGTTTTTTGTTTGTTTTTTTTGTATGTTTTGTATTAGATAACATTTTCTCATGTTTGAACGTTTTGAAAGGTTACATTTACTGGAGGTTGTTGTTTTGCCAAGGCTTCTTAACTTTCCTTTTGAGTTTTATGTGTTAAAATAAGGGAATATTAGCAATTTTGTTATGACCATATTTTCAGTTTATTTGGCATGTGTATGTGTTTTTATTTATTTATTTAAATTAAAAAACAAACAAACCTGTACCCCATGCTATTGCCGTTACCATCACACCAACCATTTTAGAGAACAATTGAGTTTTTGTTTGGTTATGATGGACACGAGAAGCGTCAGCTGATCCGGCAGGGTGACCGATTGAGAGTTTGAAGATCAATTCAGCTTTTAGTTTTTCTTAGAGTAGCTTTATTAATTGTCATTACAAAAATTCTGAATTTGAATTCAGAGACAATATATTCCTATTTATTTATATAAGATCGACGTTAATTAGGTGCTAATTAACTTGTTGGGTTTACCAAGTCAAAAATGTTTCTCCAAACACTGAAAAGATCATTACCATAACACACAATATACCAAAGTCTACTCGAAGCTCGATCAAAGCTGTGATGATGAGATCTTTTTTCAGTGCACGTGATGATGAGTATATGTTTGATGCAGTATAGTTTACATTGATAAAATGTTTACATATATATATATATATATATATATATATATATATATATACTGTACATACATAAAGGAGGGCTGATTGCTCCACACATCCAATAAGTTTGCGTTTCCCAGGAAGAATAAATCTGATGTAACACAGGAACTGACAGCTGTTATAGAATCATTTAGGGCTGATAATGACTCTTGATGACACAATCTTCACTCAATGAATCACTGATATATAGACATTCAGCTTGATTCTGAAACAGACAGAAAATCAACAAGCACAAACGAACCTAAATATAAAGAACGCATTGCGGTTTGCAGTATGACGTTGCATAATTTAGCACTGCCGTCCCAAGAGACCTTGAATCCAGACACACTGATGTTTATATTACAGTCTATGTAGAGAGAGAAACCTCAGGATATTTGTGCTCTTATTCTTTAAAAAATATTTCTAGACGTAAAAATAAAATGGAAGGTTTAAATATTTATTCTTTAGTAATACTGTAACAGCAAGAATGTGTTTTTATAAGTGACAGTCATAGTTTTCTGGAATGATCTGTAGTGTGTTTTCCTGAAGTGGCATGAGGGAATCATCATGCCTGGCATTGATATTCAGTACTCATAGTGATTGTAGCCTGTGCTCTAAATATCTGTCCTCTGATAAACCAGCGCAGTTTAAAATAGAACTATTGACTGGCACTCTCTTGAACTCTCTGTCTACATGATATCCCATCTTTATGTCCCATATTAGTAACTGCACAGTATTGCATTTCATTTTATCTTAGTGTTTTCATATATGAAAATAACAATCAAAAGTACCATGGTATTGCTATATGGTACTTTTTTTTTTTACATGCAGTAAATGACACCTTTTTTTGATTTATTATCTTTGTCTAATAAGCTGTTCCTCAACAACATTTCTGTAGCTTTAAATTTGTATCACATGTATCACACCTCACATTTCAGATGCCGTTTTTCCATTGGAAGACACTGATATCAGGTTGTTTTTGGCAGGTGAGGGGTGGTTTGGGTTACTGTGTTTGCTGACCCACATCTCGCGGCACGAGTGCAAGTGTTGGAGCCGATTAACGGCAACTCACCTTTCACATTAGAGTTGAAATTCTATCATCTGTGTTGTGATGCTCGACTGAAGTCTCGTGGCTTTCAGATAAGAAGTCATGGGATGAATGCCCTACATTGTGAGGTCAAACTTTTGACCGCTATTGACAGAATTTGACCATATTTTCAACATAATTTCTTTTAATCAATTTCACTGTCTGCCTTTTCTCTGTTTCTCTCAGATGTGGAGGCACGGTGGGTGCGATCCTGACCTGTCCGTTAGAGGTGGTGAAGACGAGGCTTCAGTCTTCCTCAATAACGCTCTGCATCTCTGAGGTGCATCTGAGCACAGTTAATGGAGCCAGTGTGGCACGTGTGGCCCCTCCGGGGCCCCTTCACTGCCTCAGGTACGTTTAAACAAGTTAGACCTCTTTACATTTTGTGCAGTGCATGCATACACATTGCCTTCTTTTATTCTGTAAGTACACTAACAAAAAAGTACCATGCTATTTCCATGTTTTTTGGACATTAACCATGGTAAAATCATGACATTCTTTGAATTACAATGAAGTACCATACTGTGGTACAATACTGAGGTACATAAATATATTATTCAATTAATATATTTATATAATAATTATATGTTATACATCAATTTGATATTATATATATTTATTTTTAGATATATGTAAACTCTATATTTATGATTTTAATATAGACAAGAATATTTACTCATCTAATTTAACATGTTGGCTTTAGTTCTGGATACAGGCAACACCCCGTACTGGAACAGTGCGAATGTTACATCTGCATTGTGAGGATGTTGAGTCTGCGTTGCATGAGCTCAGGGTTTCGTAAACATTTGCTCTATGGTTTGTGGGCCTAAAACCAAGTGTCCATCTTCCCTGCCAGAGGAAACGCCCCCTTTCTGTCGACTCTTTCCAAAAATGTGGTCATATTTCTTTAGTACACCACCAAATGTGACTAAATAAAGTCAGAAGACGAGACTAAATAAGGAACGTTGGTTTGCAACATAAGAATTTTGATTCCAGGTGGTTCCGCATATATAATATATAAATATATACATTACCAAAGCAGAAGTTCAGTGTTAAAGGGATAGTTCACCCAAAAATGAAAATTTGATGTTTATCTGCTTACCCCCAGGGCATCCAGGATGCCCTGGGGGTAAGCAGATAAACATCAAATTTTCATTTTTGGGTGAACTATCCCTTTAATACAGCGCATACTGCATAAAGTCTATAATGCCCTCTCTTTGCCTCTTTCTTTCTGTTTTCTTTATAAAGAGACTGTTCACAGTGGTTTCCACTCCCCCTCACCCAACCAATCACTGCCCTCACAATAAAACACGGCGTCCTGGTGCTTGGCTCTTGGTTGATGAGTGTGTGTGTGTGTGTGTGTGTCTGAATCACTGGCTCTCAAAACGGGCCCCTTGTCCTCATAGTTTAACTCGGGTTATACATCACAGAAAGGTACCAAAATACTAAACACAAAGACATTTAGATCGACTTTGGTCTCGTTTATTAATTTAATACGGTTAGTAAATGACTTTGACCAGGGTGCGAACTACGGGGGAGCTAGGGGGAGCTCGGCTCCCCTTAATAAGACATGGGCTCCCCTGAAAACGTGATTTGTGAAATTTTGGGGGGTCTCAAAAAATATCGACAATGTGTTATTTTGACGTGCAAAAAAAAAAACAAGTGGGCTCCCCCAAAGTCCACGGTATAGTTCGAACACTGACTCTGACATCATATACACTCCTTCACGGTTTATGGCTTGTTACACAACCTGTCCATGTTGGCATCTGTCTATTTTGCCTTTTTGACACCTGAAATTGCATCTTAGTATTGTAGACTTTGATTGGACGCATGTACTTTGTCGTCAACAACAAAAGGTATGGGAAGTGTTTTTGCCTTCTTTTTAAAAGTTGATAAGTTTAATAACAATTATGCCAAATTACACCCAATTACATGGGTAGTTGCTTTTTGTTATTTCCATCTAGCATTGTTTTCTTGCCTGATGTCCATGACCTTATGTGGCCCATTTTTCTGTCGGAACCTGCCAGTTGCGAACCACTGGGGTTAAAGAATAAATGGAGTATTAAGATTGTATTTAATGAAGTTCAAGATGGAATATAAATAACATCATTCATTTGATTTAATCTTTCTTTAGCTTCTCTTTATGACTTTCTTTTATACTGTATGTGTGTGATGCCAATAAGCTCTCACACCTAACACAAGAGAAATGTTTTCCGTGTGTCTTTGAGGAATTTCTTTGTTTGAACACGTTCTTCAGAGGTGTGTCTTATTGGCTGATCGAAAGATTAAAAAATATTTTGGTGATTCTCACAAAGAAATGTTTGGGTTATATTTCACTCCAAAACAAATCGGCTCATTTATATAGCAAAATATTGTTCCAACATCTTTACATAGATTAAAAAAAAAAAAGAATATATAAATGTTTTCATAATCAAATTGTGGCCTGCTTATAGGGCCGCTAAGTTTTATTTGGTGTAATTTTCATGACAATTAAGCCCCCATTTTATCTATAAATATAGTTCAACAAGCAATGTTATTGTTATTATTTTTGCATGAGAATTTGGTTAAATACCAATTTGCTTGAATTGCTTAATTGTTATGAATATGAAGTCACAATGAAAAAATCTTCAATGTTCTTACATTAGAATTCATTTTCATGCTCAATAAAATTTTGGAGTGAAATATAAGACATATCCCCCAAATATTTCCCAGGAACAACATTACATGTTTTACCAACTCCAGACTGTGTTTATAATGTTCACAAAGCCATTCAGAACAAAAGTGTCATTTTGGTACGTTTGCCATGCACTTCTGTTGATATGTTTCTCTCTCTGTCTTTCTCAGATTAATTCTTGAGAAGGAAGGCCCTCGTTCTTTATTTCGGGGCCTGGGGCCCAATCTAATTGGAGTGGCTCCTTCACGGTGAGTGTTTGTCCATTCATACAGTTAAACAGGCAGATCAAAACGCCTTTATCTCAGCAAGCATTTACAGTAAGAGCGTGTAGTCCTGAGTTGTGTGTGCTGAAGTGATGTGAGTCTGACTGCAGTGTGACTGATGCAATCCCTGCTCAACCGGTAAAGCTGCAAATTTACAGAGCTTGGAAAAAACAGCATTCAGTTTAGGGTTATTTTACAGGTCAGACATCAGCCATGCAGGGTGCAAATTTGGGGTAATCTGAGCCCCCAATTAAAAAGATAGTTCGCCCAAAAATGAAACTTCTGTCATTATTTAATGACCTACATGTTGTTCAAATCCCGTATGACTTACTCTCAACTTTAGAACTGAATAGATATTTTGAGAAATATCTTCTTTTGTGTGCCACAGTTTTGGTTGAACTGTCCCTTTAAGACTTGAAAAGTACATATAGAGTTTTAGTTCCATCAGTCCATTGGTTAAGAGCTTCAGGATACTACATGTGCAAACATTTGCGGTTACATGCGAGGGTTTGTGAGGAACATGCTGTCCTTGTGAGCTGCCTACGTAGGCATCATAGTCACCCAATGGGCGTTTCAGAAGGTGGGGAGCAAAATTATGTTGTATTTGGCAGCTTTGCATTTATTATTTGGAAAAATCTAGCTTAGCTTTGGTATTTGTGTTTGGAACATGGTAGATAGTTTCTAGCTGGTCTGAGCTGGAAATGAGCTGGTCTTTGATTAGTTGAGGAGCCAGCTTGTTCAAAAATCCACCTTAAACTAGTATGAGGTTGATTTGTTGCAGATAATGTCCATCTTGGTCTTCGTGTCCAGCTTACCTGCTGAAAAGAGCATCTTAAACCAGCCTAAATGGTTTAGTCAGTCTCCCAGCCTGGCTAAGATTTACTAGTTGTGTTTAGAACATGGTAGATGGTTTCTGGCTGGTCTTAGCTGGAAACTAGCTGGTCACCAACCAGCTTGTTTCAAAACCCACCTTGAACTAGTATGTTAGTTTGTTGCAGATAATGACCTACATGGACCAGCTAATGACCAGTTTTCCTGCTGCAAAGAACATATTAAACCAGCCTAAATGGTTTGCTCGGTTTAGTAAGTCTTCCAGTCTCGCCGATATGATGTTAATCAGATCATTTCTGTATTTTATTGAAAAAAAAAATAAATAAATCAAGGCTATGAAAACCAAATATAAATTTATGAATGTGAACAATTCTGTAAAAATGATGCTGCACTATAAGATTTGGCAGAATTGCATTTATTCACTTGAAAAATCATTATCTTTGTTAGTTGTGTTTGGAACTTGGTAGATAGTTTTTAGCTGGTCTAAGATAGAAATTAGCTGGTCACCTCCAACCAGCTTGTTTCAAAACCCACCTTAAACTAGTATGAGGTTAGCTTGTTGCAGATAATAAATGACTTGGACCAGCCAATGACCAATTTTCCTCCTGAAAAGAACATAAGCCAGCCTAATTGGTGATTTGCTTGTCTTGGCTGGTTTAGAAAGTCTCCAAACCTGGCCAAGATGATGTAATCAGATTAATCAGATAACTGGTAAATGGTTTAGTAAGTCTCCAAGCTTGGCCAAGGTGGTGTTCAGCTGGTTTATCTGGTTAATCTGTTGTAGTTCAGTAGGGTGTAATAGCATTGTGTGTTGTTACTCATGTGTCCTGCTGTGTTTTCAGGGCCATCTACTTCGCCGCCTATTCCAGCTCAAAGGAGAGACTGAACTGTGTGTTTGAGCCAGACTCCATGCAGGTGCACATGACGTCTGCTGGGATTGCAGGTAACTTTGAGCATGCAATCCAACTACATCCTATTTCCTCGGTTTTGATGGGATCATAAAATATAAACCGTTTACTGCTTAATTGCATGTGTCGATTTGTCCAGCAGATTGGAATTGCAACTTTTTCCTTTTGTTCCATTCTGTATCTCTGAGTAACAGGCTAATAAATATCACAGCGCTCAAGCACTCAATAAAGATCTGGCACACGGCCAGAAGAGAATGTATGTGTGTGCGTGTGTGGGTCTCCTGTCACCTGGACTTTTGCCAAGGAGGATTTAGATTAACGCTCGCACTATGCTAGAGTTTTGTTACACCTTTAAGCTGCTTTTTCATTGTTTATGAAGATGATAGACAGAAAGTCATTCAACTTCAGAAGAAAATCATGTGAGGAGTGCAGTATTGGTTGAAAACTAGGGCTGTAACTCTGAGCTGCAATGTTTTCCTCCAAACAATGTGCAAATTCAGTGCTATAAAAAAAAATATATATATATAAACTATGCTCACACTGTGCAAAGATGTAAACAAAAACAAATGTTTAGTCCAGTTTTAAAGCAGCAGGACACTTTGAATCAAGTTTTGAATGACAATAAAGAAAAACAAGAACACAAATTGCAAATAAATATGGTTAATTTTAAACCTAAATGTAATTTCCAACAACAACTATTTTATCAAAATGAATTTGGATGATTTTACTAAAAAATTATTGCACTGCCTGCTGTTGTTTAATAGTTACATGCTTGCTCTCAGGACGGCCCTTTATGTAAAACCGAAATATTCAAAAGTGTTTAAAAGTTTGAGGTTGATAAGATTAGATTTATTAGTGTTTTTGAAAGAAGTCTATTATGTTTACTAAGACTGCATTTATTTGATCAAAAATACAGTAAAAACAGTGATATTTTGAAATGATTACAATTTAAAATGTTTTCTATTTTAATATATTTTAAAATCACATGATCTTTCAAATCATTCTAATATGCTGCTCAAGGAATATTTCTTATTAATACCAGTGTCGAAAACATATGCTTCATATTTTTGTGGAAAGGAAACCATGATATATTTTTTTCATGATTCATTGATGAATAAAAAGTTCAAAAGAACAGCATTTATTTGAAATGGAAATCTTTAGTAACAATGCAAAGGTCTTTACTGTCAATTTAATGCATCCTTGTTGAACAAAAGTATTCATTTTTCAAAAAATAAAAAAAATAAAATAAAAAATCTTACCGACCTCAAACTTTTGAATAGTAGTGTGTTATAAAAAAGTTAGTATATGAAAGTAGCTAATTTTGCTAAATATCTGTTAGTGTGTGAAAGTTTGCGCTCATTTCTCTTTAGTAAATTTAAATCTTAATCTTTCCTCTTCTACTTCAATCAGGGTTCACGGCTATAACAGCAACCAACCCAATTTGGTTAATTAAGACACGTCTACAATTGGACGCCAGGTAAATGCAAACAGATATGTGGCATTATACAAGTAGATTATAATTTTAACATGACCTAGTGCTTATTATTCATAATTCCAGACTAAGTTTTGTATTTGACTGCACAGGAAACGCGGGGAGCGTCGCATGAATGCGTTTGAGTGTGTGCGGCACGTGTATCAGACGGATGGTCTACGTGGGTTTTACCGCGGCATGTCTGCTTCTTATGCGGGCATCTCAGAGACTGTGATTCACTTTGTGATCTATGAAAGCATAAAACGACGTCTTTTAGAGGCCAAAGCAGCAACGCACATGGATGGGGCCGAGGACACAGCCAAGGACGCGTCGGACTTTGTGGGCATGATGCTGGCAGCCGCCACTTCCAAGACCTGCGCCACATCTATAGCCTATCCACACGGTGAGCATGTGCATTTACCATCAGAGCATCTAGAAGTCAATATAAAACATCATTCACAACCTATTTTACTTCCATAATATTACATACACTACGGTTCAAAAGATTTTAATACTTTTATTCAGCAAGGATGTATTAAAGGGATAGTTCACCCAAAAATCATGTTGTTCCAAACCCGTAAGACCCCCGTTCATCTTCGGAACACAAATTAAGATATTTTTGATGAATTCTGAGAGCTCTCTGACCCTCCTATAGACAGCAAGGGTACTACCACGATCAAGGCCCAGAAACATTGTAAGTAGATCGGTACAATAGTCCATGTGATATCAGGGGTTCAACCGTAATTTTACGAAGCTACGAGAAAAAAAAAAAAAACGACTTTATTCAACAATTCGTCTCCTCCCTAGCGCCATTTTGGAGAGTATCCACTGAACGTAAACTGCGTATACTCGGTGTCAGCTGTGCAACGTGGATACGTTGTTTACGTCATTTACGCTTTGATTTGAACGAAAACACCGTATCCGCGTGACACAGCTGACACAAAACAGTATACGCAGTTTACGTTCAGTGGATATTCTCCAAAATGGCGCTAAGGTGATGCTGCGGAGACGAATTGTTGAATAATGTCGGTTTTTTTTTCTTTTGCGCTCAAAAAGTATTCTCGTAGCTTCGTAACTTCAGTTTGATCAATTTCACAGAAAGCAAGTTTTGCTTCTCAAGTAACTATATCTTGATTTAAGAATCTTAAGACGTGTGAACTGGAAAATAAGACAAAAATACTAAGGAAGAATACATAAAAAAAATTTTTTTTTTTTTTTGCAGTGTGATCAGAAGGTAGTAAAAGTTATGGCAATATTCTATTGATTGGGAACAGTTCTTTTAAATTGCAATAACATTTTATTTTCAATAACATTTGTAATGAAATAAATGCAGCCTTGGTGAGCATAAGAGACTTCTTTTAAAAAAACATTAAAAAAATCTTTCTAACCTTAAATGTTTGAATGGTATATAAAAAATAAAAAGGGAGACAAACAGTATCATTTTGGGTTTCAAGTTCACTATGAATAGATTGTAACCAATTCTGAGCATATTTGTTTTTCTGTTTGGTTCTGCAGAGGTTATCCGCACACGGCTAAGGGAAGAAGGTACCAAGTACCGCTCGTTCTTCCAGAGTCTCAGCCTGGTGATTAGAGAGGAAAGCTATCGAGCTCTTTACCGAGGACTCACCACACATCTGGTCAGACAGATCCCCAATACAGCCATCATGATGTGCACCTACGAGTTCGTCGTCTACCTGCTTGATGACTAAACTTTGACCTGAGGTGCCTCAGTATTCATGGACGAAGAGTTCTGTGGTTTCATTCACAATTTGGGAGTGTCTTCTGAGAGGAAGGTGTTAGGAGAAAAAGGAAAATGACTAAAAAGGTTGTGTCTAGAAAGCAATGTTCTCGTTTCTTGGTTTTCCTTAACTTTCTGTCTTTTAATGTTGCTTAAAATGATGCTGCTTCTAATGGCGCTTTTCCACTGCGTGGTACGGCACGGCTCGGTTCGGCTCGGTTTGCGTTTCCACTGCAGTTTAGTATTGCTTTAGAGTGGGCGGGATTATTCACATGTCATTATAGTTGCGCCGCCTCTACTACCACGACTCCTAAAAAACTTTTTCATTCCGCGTCGCCCCATCAAGCTCTCACTGGATCCGCTCCTCTGCTATCAACGAGAGCAACGTCTGTACTTCCTCAACAGGGGGAACAGCCACTTTTTGGTTGTTAAAAAAAGGTGTGCTCGCTCAAAACAGTTGCATTCGATCCTTCGCTGGCTGTGCTGATTTAAATCTAGCGGTTCTTTTGTGTTTGTGTTGCAAGTTCAGTGACGCAGGTAGTGACGATTCTCTCCGGCCAATCCGTGATCAGCAGAGTTTACACGTCACGTTTTGGTAACGGTACGGTTCGCTTGGAACCCCAACCGAAGTGGTACTAAAAAAAGTACCAGGTACCAGGTACTGTACCCAGTGGAAAACCCCCCAAAAGTGAACCGTACCGAGCCGTACCGTGCCGTACCATGCAGTGGAAAAGCGCCATAAAAAGCCTTGACAGTCAGTTCACCTTTAGCCTCCTCAGAGTTCGTTTTTACATCTCAAACAGCACTTCACGTCAGATAGATCTTGTATGTGGATTCAGCAGGTTATTTCTGTCAGAGAAGCTGTTCTTATGTTGGCAGGTGTTTGAGGGGTTTGTCGGCATCATTGCGATGCTATGATGGCGATCAAAGCTTCACTGGATTTTCTCGAGATTTGAGCTGGAAAGGATTTGGAGAGGATCCAATCTGAGGCTCACTTCCTGTCTGGGAACAGCCAATCAGGTTGCACTTAGAACCATGCAATGCAAAAGCAAAAAGATCTGATGCATATAACTGACACTGTGTGCACACATGTATGCAAAAACAGATGTCTAAGAGTGTGATTAGTTGTTTTAACACTGTACAGGTGATTGTGTGCTAGTCTCAGAGTGTCATATTTGTCCGTTTATTCCCGTTATTGTGTGTTTGTAGCCCCTATTTAACCTTAACACATGAATGTAACAATCATTGCAGCCAAAATAAGTTGTTGGCACAAAAAAACTTTTATAAATATATGTACTCAGCAGCAGAATTATTAATTAAAGAAGGTAATGAATAATGATAATGAAATAATCATTTAAAATTTAAAAAAAGAAAAAGAAAGAAAAGCAAGTATTACGCAAGCAAGCCATTGCACTGTAACACAAAATACGTTTTTTTTTTTTGTCGGCATTTTGTTGACCCCATCCCAAAAACACACATTGAACACACAAAAACACACATTGAACACACAAAAAAATCAAAGAGCGTTTGTGGCCGCTGTGCTAAATGCCATAGAAAAGAGTATGCAAAAGAAAACAGCATTTTTGTCGATTTGCAGTAAAAATACCAAGAAATCCTTTGGATAAGATCAGTTTGCTTGAGAAGCAAAATTGCATTAGATATTAAGACGTTTTTAGACAGTATATCTTGAATTAAACTAGTTTTAACATTAAGTAATTTTAATGATTACAATGTATCAATACTTCATCATTATAACTTAAAGTATAAATCTGTTTTGTTAGATTGACTCATTGGCAAATTTCATTTTATTTTGTTAAGAAAAAATTGCAGTGTATATTTACTGAGAATGTCTTTATATCTATCTGTATTTATATTCTAATCATATTTATATTTTTGTTTCTCAATTTCAAGTAAATTGATCTTGTTATAAGAATGTTTTAGTTTTTTTTTTTTAAGGAAAACAAGACCGAAATAAAGATTTTTTTTGCATTGCAGACAGAAAAACATCAAATATTGTCAAAATTCATGTTTTTCTTTATGATGCAGCTTTGTATCTGGTTCTCTCACTCTTTTATGCCTTCATGGTATGTCACAAGTCCAGTGTTTTGTTTAGTTTTTTTCTTTCAGTGTTTGGTTTTGTTTACAGTCAGTTTGGTGTGACCTGCTCTGTTGTCACTGTTCATTATGACATTGATATTCAGCAGATGGAAAATAAATGCATCTAAGAAAACAAAGAAGGACATGTATATTTTGGGGTTTTGTCTTAGAGATGACTCTCACTGAACAAAAGTTAGAAATTTCTGAATGGTGTGTTTTTACTGTGTTGTTAGACACGGCCTCCTTTACACTGCTGTTCTTCTTTGCTTTATTTTTACTTCCTCACATGCACTGAGGAATTTTGTTTGACATTGAAAATCAGGAAATGTGTGTGTGAATTCCAGTGACACAAAACTTACTTTAAACTCGTTACATGAGTGGTTCAGCATTCACAGGTCCAAACTGCTGTAGTTTGGGTGAGATCTGCACGCGAGGTAACAACTTGTTTAATTGTCCAAGCAGGTAAGAAATTCATTAAATATGGAGCTAATTGTTTTAGATTTGCCTGTGTTGAAAAAAGTCCTAATCAGTTAAAGAATGCTTAAATGTAAACAGACGTGCTTATCAGTTCCTTTAGGCAACAAAGCTTTTAGAGTTTTTTGTACTTTTATTTAAATAACTACACAAAAGGTCAGGCAATTTTGTACACTGACAAAAAAAGTCGGTGTAAAAAAAATCACATAAATTGCTAGTAAAAATAAGCAGCAGGTAATTATTACAAAGGATCAGCAAGTAACATTGAGTTCAAGAGTTTGTTTTTCTCAAGTTTCGCACAGATATAGGCTGACATCAAAATAGACATTCAGTCAGCTTAGGTGCCATATTGAATTTAATACCCATGAAAACGAGGAAGTGAGGTATAGGCTTACAATGGCACGCACCGTATTAATTTTCAAGACTCGCACCTGTCAAGACTTGTATGGAGTTTTTGTCTACAGAAACTCAGAAAGTGTTTTTCAGAAATTGTTTCAGCAGAAATAGAGAATGTTTGAACAACAGTCCAATCCACTGAACGCACTGTACTTCAGTCCCTCACAGCCTTCATTCCTGTCAAAAAAAGTTACATTTGGCGCTACCCTGACTGTAAGGCCTATGGAAGCCCGTTTCTGCCACTGAATAAAAATAAAAAAGGTAATTGCGACTTTTTATCTCACAATTCTGACCGGTTTTTCACCCTCATAATTGCGTGATACAAACTCGCAATTGCGAGAAAAAAGACAGAATTGCGAGTTTTTATCACGCAATTGTGTCTTTATATCTGGCAACTGTGTTTATATCAAGCAATTCTGAGAAAAAAAACGGCAGAATTGTGAGTTTATATCTCGCAATTCTGACTTTATAACTCGCAATTCCGATTTTATATCTCACAATTCAGTGAAAAAAAAGTCATAATTGTGAGATAAAAAGTCGCAACAACCTTTTTTAAAAAATCTTTATTCAGTGGCGGAAATGGGCTTCCATAATACGGCTGATGATACACGAGGCAACCTTTTTGAGCAATGTTGCTGTTAACGAGCAACCAGGTGAGACACGGGGCCCACGACCGATCTAAAGTATCCAGATAGACATTTGTTACCCATTCCCTGTTGAAAAAAACAGCATATACTGGTTAGGTATGTTTTGATGCTGGTTTATGCTGGTCATGTGCTGGCAAAGGACCAGCATAAACCAGCAAAAGGACCAGCATAAACCAGCAAAGGACCAGCTTAAACCAGCAAAGGACCAGTTAAACCAGCAAAGGACCAGCATCCCAGCGTCAAAACATACCTAACCAGCATATGCTGTTTTTTTTCAACAGGGTTCTCAAGTGCCCAAGCAGCATAGCTCAAAAAACGTTGCCCCGTGTATCATATCAGCCTAAGGGCTATGAGTAACAAAAGGCTATTGCTATTGCGACTTTAGCTACATGCTGCCGAGAAAAAAATGTGACATTTTGAGGTATAAAGTCAAAAATACAATGTTCTTGTAAAACACGTTCCAAAAGCTAATTTTTATTTACAACTTCGAAAGACAATTCTACTGAAGAAGAACACTCTGATAGCAGAGATGATGGAGACGCTGCAGAAGACGTCTCTACAAACGGCTGCTGTGGAGTGTGATGTTTGCACTACAGAGAAGAAGAGAGCTGTAAAGTCCTGTCTGCAGTGCTTGGCCTCCTTCTGTCAAACTCACCTGCAGCTTCACTATCAATCTCCTGCGTTTATGAAGCACAAACTAGTCGAAGCCACCAGATTCATTCAGGAGAACATCTGCCTCAGTCATAAAAAACCTCTGGATATTTTCTGTCAGGATGACCATTGATACATTTGTTATTTGTGTATGATTGACAGTCATGTAAACCACAATATGGTACCTGTGGATTCAAAATGGACTAGTAAAAAGGTAATGAATGCTATTTTCAGGTAGTTGTCATTTTTTCCCTGAGTTGATAGTTATTTATTTTAATTAATTAAATTACTAGGATAATAGTACACATCATATTACTTGATATTTAACAATTACAAGATGAGATTGGCACGGTGTGTATTTCTACTTTTGTTATTTAATGATTTTGTATGTTAACATACTCAGGAAGAGTTAAAGGAGATAAACGTGGCGTGTCAAAAGCTGATCCAGGAGCGAGAGAGAGGTCAGCAAGATCTCAGTGAAGCTGTGAAATCTTTTAAAGTGAGTAAATGGGGGAGAAAAGAGAATAAAACAATAAATGCAATGCATCATATTAATACAGAATCCTACAGACGACCTTTAGTGAAATTTGCATGCATGGAGGAAAAAAAAAAACTAGATCGAAATTGTTCTTGTGCACAAAAACACCTTTTTGTTTTATTTATTTATTTTCAGAAACATCACTTTAAAGGTGGGGTAAGTGATTTCTGGTAGCCAATGTTGACATTTGAAATCACCAAAACAAACACGCCCTACCCCAAAAGGGTCTCGCCCCTATTTTGATAGCTCCGCCCCACACATACATACGCAACCCAGGCAACGATTAGTTCTGTGAAACAAAGCAAAACCAATGTTACACCGGCCCGACAGAAAACTGCTGCTGCGTTCTATTTATGATGTATTGACACAAATTTCAAATGATTTTCAACGGTCGCTTTGTCGCATCCAGTGTACTAGACAGACTTTAGCTGT